CTTGCCCTAGACCTCAAGCCTTCTAAGTGGTAGAGCTGATTTTTGAACCTAGGCATTCTAACTCTAGAAGCCATACACTTAACCACGATAACATACCGCCTTGCAAACAAAAACTTGTTATCTCACCCTTCTTATTTAAACCCACATTCTCTTTAGCAAGATGTCCTGACTAGTTAGCATAGGATTAATTTGTTAGCTCTGTAAATTTCTCCCCTGCTCATGTTTGAGGTCATTGTCCATAGTCAGATACATTAGACTATTTGTTCTAATTCAAACAATCCAAATTTTTCTTTTGAATTTAGAATTTACTTTATCATTGTCTAACTGGGAAATCCATATTTATTCCTCAAAGCCCAGGTCAAACTTCACTTCTTTTATGTGTTGTGCTAAAATTGTTTTCCCTTTCACCTGTGTTCCCACAATACTTAATAGGTAACTGTTCTGGTCCTCCTATCATTTATGGTTTTCTATCTGTTTTTCCTTTTTCACCTGAAGGGCTTCTTGATGTCAGGCATCTGTTTTCCTGATTGTTATACCCTTAGCACACTGCCCGATTCATAGTTGGCACTCAGGAAATAATGTCAATATTTAATTGAATTCAACATTGAATCAGTTTGCATCCTCAAAATGCAAGAAGGTAGAGGCAACGTGAATCTGGCTGCAAACCTCTGTTCATGAGGAATTGTGTCACATGCTTTTCACCGACTACCATGTCCCCACTGCTGATTTCATGTGACCATCTGGTAGCCAGACTCAACCCTCGAGCATGCTGCCATGTCCTGGGTGCTGCACTGAGGGGCCCTGCCCAGATTGCAGTCAGAGTTCCCTGTACAGATGGTGGAGGATTTTGAAATGCCTGAAACCAAACCATTACACCCACTTAAAATTGTTTCTGTCGTCTGTGTATGATAAGAGGTGGGTGGGAAAAAAGTTGTGCATATAGCTCATTTTTTGAAGTTGAGATTGCCAATCAAAAGTCGTGAATGGGGTAAAATAACACATATGAGATGTGTTTAAAATATTTTGCTCCTCATTCTTCTGTTCACTTCAATTTAGAAAGTCACTTTCCTGATGTTGGATGAGCATTAACTAATTCCCTAGTACCTCTTTCATTTTGTTTTCTTGATTATATATCATCTGACTCCAAGTGTATTTAGGGAAACTGACAGGTGATTTGAACATGGTGAAACTAAGAGCCTTTTATTTCTCTAAGAAAAACAGTGAATTCAGTTAAGGTTTTTATAGTCGTAGCACTATGTACTTGAGCTGTTCTTTGATCCAGCAAAACTTTGATGACTCAATTTGACTTAATTGAAGAATGTTAGAATTAAAACATTTACTTTAATAGTAGTAGAGGGACTCTTTTCTTGTTTACTAAATAGTAAAATGATACAATTTCTTATTTTAAATAAGATAAATGTCAAATTGAAGACTTTTTCATCATTTCAGCAAAATAGAGGATGAAAGTTGGAGATTATATGAGGATTCTAGTCACTTGAGATGGAGTAGAGGAGGATAAAGGATATAAGAAAACAGCCTGGTCTACTCATAATTGCACTGTAATTTTATTCAGTGTTGGACTAGAAGTTGAAGTCTCAATACATTGACATAAATTAGGCATTTGAATTTTAAAACTTACACATTTTGAAAATGAATCAAAATGGTGAAAGAATATGCAATTTAGGGAAATTAATAAAACCACTATTTTAATTGAATTCATAAAAATCTAAGTGTATAATTCCCTCATATCTTATTCTGTTTTTAAAGCAATTTACATTTAGAACTTAGTAAGAGAAAACTTAACATAATAAAATATATTGTTCTTCCTCTTATAGCAAAACATCTGAAACAGTTCATATTTTGTGATGGAAGGTTCCATGTATGTAATCTAATTCTTGCAAGTACCCTGTGTTGTCTTCCATCATGAAGGCACAGAAAAGGAAGCTCGGCAATTAGCAGTTGCCCCAGACAGCAAGTGGCAGAGCAGGATTCAAGCTGGGGCCCACTGCTTCTATATCCCATACTTTTTTCACTTGGTTGAGAATTTCAGTTTTAACTTCAGATCTCCCTTGAGCTAGGAAAACAAACATACTGGAATTACAGAACTAAGAAAATATCAAACTGGAAAAGGGTTTTGAAATGCCTTTTTTTTTTAAACTGTCTGTTCATCTCCTCTGCGCATTTTTTAATTGGATTACTTGCTTTTTGTTTGTTGAGGTGCGTGAGCTCTTTATATATTTTGGATGTCAACCCTTTATCGGATCTGTCATTTATGAATATATTCTCCCATACTGTAGGATGCCTTTTTGTTCTATTGGTGCTGTCCTTTGCTGTACAGAAGCTTTCAGCTTGATATAGTCCCACTTGTTCATTTTTGCATTTGTTTCCCTTGCCCGGGGAGATATGTTCATGAAGTTGCTCATGTTTATGTCCAAGAGATTTTTGCCTATGTTTTTTTCTAAGAGTTTTATAGTTTCATGACTTACATTCAGGTCTTTGATCCATTTTGAATTTACTTTTGTGTATGGAGTCTTTTATATTGGATGTGTCATTTGGCATATTTTAAGCAGAAGTCATATAAGTAAAAGATTTATGCATATTTCAATTATCATGTAAGTCTCAGTGGAGGGTTTGATTAAATGGGGCTAGCAAGGTATTTATATATGATTTTTGCCCCTCAATATATGATCACTTGTATCTCTATCTTGGAACAAACTTAGGGTAAATTTGAGATCAGATTTTGTTTCTCAGAACAATCTTGAAGTTTCCTTAGCTACCAAATGATTAGAATTGCCCATGTTACTATCTTTGCACTACAAATAGAGTATCAGTATATCTCATTTTTCATGTTTAATGTAGAAGTATCATACATGATGGGAAGAAGGAAAGAGAGGACATACAACTTAAGCTTAAATACAGCTAGCAATAAAACTAAGTATTTGCTTTAGTAAATACAGTCAACAGGAGCTGATGCCTCATCTTCTACTGGTATTTCCTTAATTTATGGAATGATTATGGGAATATTAAAGAAATAAATTTTGTGCTTCATTCTCTCTGACTCTTAATATAGGGTAACACTCTTTGTGTCCTTCCTTTCTCCAAGGGAGATGGTGAAGATGAATTAGACCATGCCGGCCACCTGCCCAGCGCTGCCCCAGAGGAAGGCGCTCCATAAATAAGACCTATCACTAGGAGGCCTTCGTGGGTCTTAGGTCCCTGCACAGGCTGGAGCTGTCACTCCGTGTCCTAACAGGAATCACCCACACTCAGGCTAAGGGCAGGTTTTCCCATGACACAAAGAATATTTCTTTTTCTTCTAGTGCTGCGTAACCAGGCGGATCCAACCTCTGCAGGTCTTGGTGTCCTCATCTATAAAGGCAGTAGTCCAGGCAGATAATTCCCTGAGGGAACCTACCCTACACTAGCTCTAATTCATCTGTCCTTTTGTTTCTCTTGTCCCACCCAGCTTCTTGAGCCTGTTCAACAATATTTTCTTTTAAGCTCATGTGCTATTAAGGGGTGGTGGCAGACTCTGAGATAGGCCATTCCTGTCCCATCCGAGGAATGCCTTGCTGTGGGAAGGGAGGTAGGCAGGCAGCAGAGCCTCAGGCAGTCAGGGTGGCCTTGGCTGCAGAGCGCAGGCTCTCCCAGGGTCCAGTGGCTGAGGCTTTGTTGGGTTTGCACCACAATTCAGTTTCTCCCTCTGCCTGATATTCTTTCTTTCCCCTTCTTTACAAATATTGAGCCCTATAAATGTCTTGAGCCCTATACTCATTCTCAGCTCTACTTTGTAATCTGACTAGTGACAAGAACTTAACTATAATGAGAAAATAGGACTAGTAGAAGGGAATTTCTCAAGCCATAGATGAATCGACTTCTTTATAATAGGATTGTGTCATATTCTGTAGTCCATTAATTTGGAAATAACATTTCATAGTAGAACAATGCACACTGAAAAAGGAAAAATTCAGTCCCTATTAAGTTTGTGATAGAATTTTGTATAGGATTGTATAGGATTTTTCCACTGGACATGAAACCTTTAGCAGATAAAGTTCTTAGTTCTATTAGTGGCATGCATAGCATGCATAGTGTTTTTTTTTAAATCACTATTCTTTATCCTTAAATAAATATTCATTAACTGTTTGTTTGACTTTCATCAGTCTTTGGAAAGAAAGATCATACAGCAAATTTTGTAACTCTTTCCAGTATGCATTCGATGTACATACTTTAAAATGTTTTTAGCTAGTGTTCAAATACACCATTTTGAGTGTAACAGAGGTCTTCCCTTCCTTCTCTCTCATTTCTTTATTTCTTCCTAAGTGATTGGGATTTGGCTATCTTTGTCCTAAAATACTAGTAAGTCTGACAGCTCCTATGAAATCAATTGCATTATAAAGAATGTATGTTCTTTCTAAGAAACTGATTTTATATTGTAATGGAGGACTGTTTCCTTGTTTCCACTTTTACTTCAAATTTACATTTATAGATTTGGTTTAATTTTTTTAATATGCATTTTGAAATAAGAGTTGTCAAAACTCGGTTATGTAACTTCTAAAAAATTTGATTTCTCCCCATCTGTGGTTAAGGAATATCATGTGGTATTTCTCTTTTTTCTTTTATGTGATTGTTGACTTTTTAACACAGAACAGAAGAGTAGAGATTGGGAAATATGTTGTAGTCTGGAAGGCAGACACTAGAGAAGAGTTAAAGAAAGGGGACATGGGAGAAGCAAGTGTTTAAAAAATGGTATATATTAGTAGAGAAGAAGCTTAAGAGAGTAAATTCTGACGTATGTATATTAATAAGCCTAAACTGCTTTTGGTTTTACTCATTATTTGTTTATGTTATAGTCATGAAATAAATTATATAAGTTATACTAGGCCTTTATAATTTTAATTAGCTCTTGAGCATTAACAACTTTTCACACTTTATTTGTTTTCTCATCTACCCATTCATCCATTTTAACAAATTTTCACCTCTTAATGACCTTGCTACACCAGACCACCAAAGAAGTATTATGTGAATGCAGTGTGTTCCAGGGATGAAATAAAACAAGGTACAGTATATACAATATTATACCTTTTATGTAAAGTACCAGAACAAGCTAAACTACGTATTAAAAGTCAGGATAGTGGTTACCCTGTTGTGAGAGATAGGGGCAGGTAACAAAGGGCTGCTGAGGGCTGGCTATGTTTTTTGATCTGGGTGTTCTTTACATAGGTGTGTTCATTTTGCAAAAGACCATTGCACAATATACTTACGGCATATCATTTTTACAATATACTTATGGCACACAATTTTATATTCATGCTTTATACCTAACTAAAAGTTTTTTAAAATTTCAGGCTAGGGAGATGCCCTTGGGTTAGATGTATTTTGCTTACACCTAGACTTTTAGGAATCTTGGAACCAAGTATAGAATCATAGAAATGGAATGGTTTGAAGTTTTTACCATAGCTTTTAAAATCTTTACTTTCATGATAATTATTCTATCAATTAGCTGTTATTCATAGCAATTTTAAAAAAACAATTTTGGTTGATCTTTGAAGTTTAAATCAAGATGCTACTACCCTTTTATGCAGATTTATCTAGATTTCCTATATAACACTGTTAACATATCTCCTTCAGATTTGTATGTATTCTGCCACCACAAAAAGCCACTTTTTTCTCTGTGTATATGAGGCTAGTTTTACTTGACTGATTATTCTCTGTAATTCAAGGCCTATAGCTCAGCGTTCAGATTTATATGTATATATGTGTGTGTGTTTATACTATAGCTCAGAGTTCAGATTTATATGTATATATGTGTGTGTTTATATTACATATAAACACACACACATATATATAATTATAATCATAGTTAATAAATATACAACATACATTTAATATATATAAATGTAGAAATATTATATATTATTTATATATATTATATACTTAATATATAAATATGTAACATTTGATATATGTAAATATACATATTGTACATTTATTATATATGAGAAACTTGATTTTAGCTTTCTGATAATCTAGCGAGTAATGCCGTTTTTTTCAACCCACCAAGCATTGAATTTTCTAGAATCTAGGTTGAGTTCTCACCCAGTGGCCAGTGCTGGGGGCACATGGCCTTCCTATTCAGGTGGTTTTGTCTTGTTGCACTCTTAACAGCAGCCTTGAATTGATTGACCAGGTTATGCTCATTATCTCCGTGGCCCCCTGGAGAAGGAAGGAAGCCTAGTTGTATCAAGAGTAGTCTCCATTCTTTTTTACTTTTACTTTCCTGTCTGTACCATTTTTTTTCCTGTTCATGAATTCATTTGATAAATATTCATTGCTTATTTGTATGTGCCAGGCACTGTCTTAGGTGTAGGATATAAAATGGTGAACAGAAAATCAACAGATCCTGTTGTCCTACATGTTACAGTTTATTGAAGAGATACATCTTTTAAAAACATCTTATAACTGAATTAAAAAAACCCAAATGTGGCACTTAACTGTGAAGCAGAACTTGTGCTCTGTCTGTGTGAGAGCCAATAATAGGGGATTGGAGCATGTTAGAAATGGCTTCTTTCAAGAGAAAACTTTTGTTTTATAATATGAAGGGTGACTAGGTTTAAATCAGACAGAGAGGAGTGAGTGTTCCATCAAGCACAGAGGTTCTGAGATGGGAGAATTCAGGGCACATTTGAGAATGGCTGGAGGAGAGAATGCATAGGGATGTGGAGGAAAGTAAATAAAAGGACTTAGAAATTGGGAAAAGTGGAGTAGTCAGTGGACTGGTGGTCCTGATGGTTTGAAAAAAAGTTGCCTGTGAGACACTGTACAAACAATTAGAAAAGTGAGCAGTTGGTGATTGGAGATTGGGATTTTTAACTTCCTGATTCTGGAGGAGGATGACCAGGTTTCAAGGTATGATCACAAGAGTGGTGACTGAAATGGCCTAGAAATAAAAATCACTGGCAACGAAGAGGTCAAGAAACTGAGAGGCTGTGTTGGACCAGTTATCCATATGTTTGTTGAAGTGAGCCAACATATTGGCAGGCTTTGGGTAAAGTGGGAGACTGGCTTGGTGCCGAGGCTTTAATAAATACACTAGATTGAATGGAAAAGGCAGGAAGGAGAACCACTTAAGCCAAATACACTTTTTATAAGACTTGACTGGTTTGTATGATAGAGATAGCCTGGATTTTGAGTAATTTTTTTCCATATTTTCATTATATTTTGGCCAGTATATAGATATATAAAAGTCAGATCCCCATATGAGTTGCAAATTCCAAGATGACAGGAATTGTATCTTAATCACTTGTGTAAAACCTGTTTAGCTCTTCTTGACTTAGACGAGGGGTAGATATTGATGAATAAAGCATAGTGATAAATTATGGATGAAGTAGCACTGCTATTTTAGATGAAAGGTTTCACTGCTTTTATTTTCATGCACGCCTGCAAGTTTTATAAACTTTATATGGCATTTTACTTCTGTGACTACAGTTACCTTTGTTATGTACATTATTTACATGGTAGTCTCAGGTTTTTTCTTTCAAAGTAAACTTTTTAATCAGAGTAATTAGATTTCCTCTGATTCCATGAGAATGTTACCACTTAGGCAGATATTTTGAGGAGCCAATTAAGCACATCCTTATGACAGAATTTGCATGGAGAGGCATCCTGCAATATGATTAGGGTATATTTTATCTGGAAAGGATCTTCCAACCCCTCCCCAAATTCAGGTTTGTAAGTTTTTATCACTCATTCATTTGTTTAGCCAGTCAAGCAGTCTCTCTGTACTAAGCAATTGCCTGAGGGATTCAGACAGTTTCAAAAGTATGTAAGCTTTCAAAGTCAAAAGCAGAATGTTATTGTATATGCAAAGGAAAAGACTGACAGGACATGCATCAAAGTGTAAATGATGGTATATTTGGGTAGTAGCACTTTAGAATTATATTTATTTCTTTAACTGAAATGTGTCCTATATATATTTTCCAGTTGAAGTCTATAATTTTTACAGTAGGATTTTTAAAAATAGTATTAGGGTAAAGGGGAAGGTAAAACAAGGACAAGTACAGAACAAATCAGAAATTGGGTTGTGTGAAAGGGAGGAGACTCATTGTGTAGGAGATAGTTGAGTTGTCAAGGATGGAATATGCAGGGTGGACTACAGCTGCATATTTGATTCTACTACGAGAAACTACTGTAGGATGCTCTTTTCAAAGGCCTCTGGTCACAGTCCCATATTTCCAGGTCACTTGGCAGAATTTCCAGAGTCTCAGGTTGTAAGGAACAGAAGGTGTGGGTTTCTCCCTAGTGCCACTGGTGTTTTATTCCCTGGGGAGAAGTAGCCATTGACTTCTTTTAACTGTGAAAAAACAAACCAAAAAAGCTCCCAGGGCTTCCCCTGCTCCCTTTCCAGCTGTTCGGGTGCCTTGTTTTGATTCTGATAATACCTGTGGATTAACACAAATAAGAACTTGTTTTCAGTGTCACTTTACAGACAGACACTTAGCAGCAGGGCAGTGGGTCTTTTCATGTCATGTGGGCATAGAAGTTAATTTCATATGTCAGTCCAGGACAGATTTTTGCTGGAGGGCTTCAAGTTTGCTACAAAGAAGCAAACATCTTCCTCTTTCCAAGGTTAGAAGGAATCACAGTCAATTCAGATGGCATTTAATATGCCTTTGTGTTAACTATGGGCATTGGGCCAGGCAAGATTGCAAAAAGCTCTGGCTTTAGAGCTGCCCCAGTTTGTAATGCCATGCCCATACCAAATACATGTTCTAAATGATACAGCACTTACTTGAGATAGAGCATTCTAGGTAAAAGATAACTATTCATTTCCAATGAATGATGATGGATGACATTTAAAATGAAAAGAAGTAAGAATGCTACTCTCTTAAGTCCAGGGAATTTTAACCTGCATTTCAGATGCATCATGATTTAGATGACACACTCCTAAAGTGTAAAGTACCTAGAAAAATTTTAGGTGATTGGAAAGTACACAAGCATATTTAAAAGGTGCTCTAATGTAATCTACCCAGACTGTTCATCAGAGCTCTGCTCCCAAAGGAAATTGAACATGGAACTCTGAAAGCTGAAGAAAGTGATGTGAAGGAAACAATAATACTGAGTAAATTCAAATGCTAGACTGTTACAGATTTGTTACAGCAAGTATTTATATCTATGCCTATTGTATTAAAACACTATAATCATATCATTTGCATCCCGCTGAACTTACCCATCCTTAGCTCCCTCAAACCCGCTGTACATACTCACTCCTGCCCTTGATGAAGTCATGGTCAGATCTCAGAGCTTTGCAGTTCCTTTTAATCAGAAGCACAGTCTCACTTCAGAAATTAAAAAGTTCTACCAGTGTAATATGGTTTAAAAGTTCTCCTCAGTGCCAGGCCAGCCTCTTTCAGGCTTGAGCACCTCTGTGCAACAGGGAGGGTTGTGCACCCAAAACTCCTGGTCACCTCCTTTCTCTCCTGTTCACTGGCTGCTATTTGTAGCTCTTCAAGACGAGGCTGATTTCACTGGCACTGCTTCTGTCTGCAGCATGCACACACAACTGCTGACTCGTGGGACGTTTTTGTGGGTTTTTAGACAGTTCCTCCTAGGGATCTCCACGACAGTTTATACAGATGATGGCCATGCCTCCCGGCCTGGATGTTTTTAACTACCTTTCTAGCTTCTGGAATTCCACCCTTCGTTTGGGATAGCATTGCCTCAATATCACATTCTTTTGAGACCATCACATTGGGTGGTCCTCTTGGGAGTTGTCCCTAGTAAGAAAAGCTGTCCCTCCTTGGGGTGCCCATCTGGTTTCATGAACATATGCATCTTTGTCTCGCCACTGGAGGATGTGCAGCCTGATCACAATAGAGCCTGATTTACTTTGCAGTTCAAGGGCAACTAGCTTAGGCACAGTTTCATACCACTAGAGTCAGGTTTAAAATAGGTAGCTATTCTTATTTTTCTCAAACTCCAAGGGATATACCTCTTCAAATATTTCTCTCAGACACCTCTTCCCTCCCTCTCTTTGGTACCCTCTGTAAACTCCTTTCC